CTTGTATAATGCCATCTGAAATCAAGTCCTCTTTATAAAAAATATGGACATAAGGAAATTGTCATCACAGATGTGAGTATGCCATGTTTCCGAACAGGTCGTTCCTGTGTGTAAGCAGTTCGCGCACACACTGCTTTACTTCACGGAAATAGATCTCAAAAGCATGAAAAAAGCATGCATGTGTGCCACGTGTCGACAACCATGTCATTGTAATTCAGTTTGGCATTAGGATTAGGATAGGCAACATCGTTCGACAGAGTAGTCATTTAGTGATTGGGATAATAATAGAAATTTGGAAGAAGAAAAAAAGAAACTTTGTAAATGTAAATTGAAGTACAACAGTAATTCTTGTCTGTAATAAAACCATCGTAAATAAATTAATGTCTTTGCCTGTCTATTGCACTTCTTCTATTTCTGCTGACCAAAATTGTAGCACAGCGTGGTTAATTCGTTGTTACTCATGGTTACTGCCTGTTAGTGGATCATGGTGTTATTGGTGCAAGTTAGATTAGTTTGGATGCAAGAATAGTTCCAGTGCGAGACAGGTGAGTTAGTTGTTAGAAACAAAATGTGTTTATAAGACTTAGGTTCATACTACCAAACAGGAATAGTGTAAGGAAGAAAATGGCTGAACCTCAAAAAGCAACCTCAGACACTGTGCTTATGTTATAATGTCGGACTTTGGTAAAAGTAATGAGTCAAAGCCAGCTGTGGAAGAGGTTTTGTTAAAACTCAAAAAACAAAAAGCCAGTGCAAAGACTGCATTTACGAAGGCGAAAAATAAACTCTACAATATGACAGAAGGTAAGGATGTCCCAACTCGAAGGTCTGTTCGAGATCAGATGGATCAGTTGTGCATTGTCCAAGAACAAGCAATGGAAGTAATGCTGATGTTGTCTGAAGAATACTCCAAAAACAATGATGTAGCAAATTCTAAAAAACTTAGCATTGAAATAACTAGACTTGAAGATGAGACTGAAAGTGCACAGCAACATGCTCAACAGTACTTAGACTGTAGATCAGATGCTAGCTCTGTACTAAGTTTACGAACAGGGATGTCAATGTTGTTCAACCAGAAACAAGAACACAGTAAAAGTCAGAAACAAGAATGTCCCGGAGAACAAGGGAAGGACGTTGAACAGGCTCAGAATGAGTCCATAAAGACTTTTGTAAGAAGTGAACATGAATTAGGTCAACCAAAGGTCATGTTCACGGTTGGTAGGTCACATGTTGAACCCAGTTCTCTTTCGAATAAACCAGACAAAAGCGCGATTGGACATGACATGTGGAAGCAGCTGCAGAGAGTTTCTATTCCAGTGTTTGCAGGTGATGTCAGGTCTTATCAGAGCTGGAAGGCAGCATTCATTGCATATATTGATAACTCACCAGCAACACCAGAATACAAGCTATTGCAATTGCGGCAGTATTTAGCAGGTGAAGCTCTTAGAGTGATTAGGGATTTGGGGCATAATGCATTTGGTTATCAAGTAGCTCTTGAGAGATTAGAGAGGAAGTTTGGTGGCATGAGGCACCAGATTGCCTTACATCTTGAAGAGTTGGACAATTTCAAACCCATTCGCCCAGGTCATGCAAAAGATTTAGATAAATTTGCTGACATGCTGGATGTTGCTGTAGTTAACCTCCGTGAATCTGACAGAGTAGAAGAATTAGGAAATGGTCTTCTTTATATGAAGTTGCTAAAAAAGATGACTGAAGCCATGGTTACAGAGTATCAACGTTGGGTATTTGATAGACAAAGACAAGAGTCAGTTGAAACTCTGAGAGAATGGGTGCTCCAAGAAGCAGAATTTCAAACAATTGCAGCTGAAACCATTCATTGTGTCTGTGATAAGTCAATAAAATCTGAACATAAAAGGACTCCTCGTACATTCCTTGGGCATGCCAGTAACCAGAAACCTGGTGGGCATTATGCTGGAGTAAAGAGTTTGTGCATAGTATGCAAAGAACCACATGATGTCTGGAATTGTAGAAAGTTCACAGCTTTAAAAGTGCAGGACAGATGGAACAAAGCAAAGGAGTTAAATCTTTGCTTTCGTTGCTTAGGAAGCAACCATCGTGGTAAACACTGTTGGCGAACAAGATTATGTGGCATGAATGGATGCAGAAGCAACCATAACAGGCTGCTACATGTGGATAGGGACAGGGTTGATTCAACTGCTGATGTTGAAAAAGCTTCAGTTCCATTAAACAAAATAGAACATACAGACAATAGTTCAAAAGAACAAGCAGAACGATCACATGCAACTAACATGGCATCGAACGTTGCTTCAAAATCTTCATTCATTGGGCTTAGGACAGTGCCAGTAATCCTTAAACATGGGAATCGCAGAGTTACTGTTAATGCTTTGCTAGATGACGCCAGCACAAGGTCCTATATTAATGCAGACGTTGCTGCAGAGCTAGGACTGCAAGGTAAAACTAAACAAGTCACTGTGAATGTGTTGAATGATGAGAAAGCCACATTTGAAACAATGCCAGTAGAATTTGGACTGGAAAGTAAAGGTGGTGAGGTTGATGTTAATATTTCTGCTTTCACAACAACTAAGGTTACAGGTGATTTGCAGGTTGTTGACTGGCAGAAATATGGCAAACTATGGACACATCTGCAAGATATAGACTTTCCTAAAATTGCATCCCCTCCTATTGTCGATGTCCTGATAGGCATGGATAATTCAGAACTTCACTATTCCTACTCAGAGGTACGTGGGAATCCAGGTGAACCTCTTGCACGGTTAACGCCCCTTGGTTGGACTTGTATAGGGAACATTGCAGGGACAGGCTCTGATAATCAGACTCACTTTTCTAGTACATTCTTCTCTCATTCAAATGCTGATGATCAAGATTTGAATATGTTGTTGCATAGGTTTTGGTAAGTTGAGAAATTCCAGTCTAAAGAGACTGAAAACATAAGCCCTGAAGACAAGAATGTATACAACAGGGTGAAAGATGCCTTGACGTATGAGGATGGTCACTATCAAATAGGCATACCATGGAAGAAAGAGGTACATGCCTTACCATCAGATAACTATCAGATGGCTCTAAGTCGTCTTGAGAGTACATAGAAGAAATTAGAAAAGGATGATACTATAGCTGCTGCATATGATACTGTCATTTCACAGTATCACACAAAAGGATATATCAGGAAAGTACCTACTGAAGAAATGACAAATACAGGAAAGTGGTATTTGCCTCATTTCCCGGTTGTACGTTTGGATTGTCTCACAACAAAAGTGAGAACTGTATTTGATGCCTCAGCCAAATACAAGGGTATTTCTTTGAATGAAGTTATCCACCAAGGTCCCAAACTGCAGAGGGAACTTTTTGATGTATTGTTACAATTTAGACACAACCCAGTAGCACTGATGAGTGATATTGCCGAGATGTACCTACAGGTCAAAATCTCTCCTGATGATCGGCCCTATCACAGATTCTTATGGAGGTCCATGAAACGAGATGAGCAACCCACAGAGTATGGGTTTAGTCGAGTGGTATTTGGGGTGAATGCATCTCCTTTCTTAGCACAGTTTGTAAGTCAGGAAAATGCCAAGAAGCATCAGGGTGATCTCCCATTAGCAGCAGAAACTGTGCAAAAAGCAACATATATGGATGATAGCATGGACTCTGTTGAGGATGACAATACAGCTATTGAGTTGTATAGACAGTTGGTAGATCTTTGGAGTAGAGCTGGGATGCGCCCTAGAAAGTGGCTTTCAAATTCCCACCAAGTACTCAATCAGATACCTGTTGAAGACAGATTGTCAGAAGTTCAGTTGAACAGTAGCTACTTACCTTCAGCAAAGACGCTCGGTCTCATGTGGATAGCTGAAAGAGATGTCTTTACTTTCACTTCCCACATACCTGAAATGAACTCCACGATATCTAAAAGAATCTTTCTTCGTCAAATAGCAAAGCTATTTGATCCTTTAGGATTTCTTGCACCCTTTACTGTGAGGGCAAAGATCATTTTGCAAGAAATGTGGACAGCAGGGTTAGATTGGGATGAAAAACTAGACAATAATCTGAAAAGGAAAGCATGTCAGTGGTTCATGGAACTGGAAGATCTTGCACATATCCAGGTACCAAGATGTTTGCGCTGTGGTCACGAGGTCAAAGAAACTACACTCCACAGCTTTGTAGATGCATCTGAGGATGCATATGGTGCTGTAGTGTATGCTGTGAATACTTACCAGAATGATGAAATCTCCAGTGTCATAATTGCTGCAAAAGGACGAGTAGCACAACTGAAAGCCATTAGCATTCCACGCATGGAATTAATGGCAGCTGTTACTGGACTCAGATTATCTGTTGCAATCACAAAGGCATTGGAAGTGTCAATAGACATCGTAACATTTTGGACAGACATTTCAAATGCGTTGTCATGGATAAAGAACCATAGCTGAACATTCAAACCCTTTGTTGCAAACAGAGTCAGTGAAATTCAAGAGGTTACGAATCCATGTCAATGGCGGTATGTACCAACTGCTAAAAATCCAGCAGATATGTTGACAAGAGGAATAGCTGCATCAAAGTTGATTGATAATCAAAGCTGGTGGTCAGGACCCCCTTTCTTGACTAGAGATGAAGGTGAATGGCCCCAAAGATTATCTGAAATAGAAAGTAAAAAGACATGTAAGCTAGAAAATGAAACTCTGAAAGAAAACAAGATCATTACAATGGTAGTGAACAAATCATCGTGTGATGAATGGAGACTAAAAGCTACAAGATACTCAGATTGGAAAAGACTGGCAAGAATCCAAGCTTGGGTATACAGATTCTTGAACAACTGTGTTGCACAAAATCATCAAAGGATCTCCGGGGAACTAACAGCAGAAGAAATTGAAACTGCACAGTTCAAAATCATAGCACAAATGCAGAGAGAAGAATTTCCAGCTGAATACTCCTGCCTTGAGAATAGAAAACCATTGCCAACCAACAGTAAACTCTTATGATTACAACCGAAGTTGGATGAATGTGGAGTGATGAGATCTGATGGACGATTGGCTTATGCTGAGCATCTATCTCCAGAGTCAAGGTTTCCAATCATCTTGCCACGCAGAAACTGGATCACAAGATTGATTGTGAAATCTTATCATGAGGAAGGACAGCATGTTACCGGAACTAATCAGACATTAGCGGCACTCTCAGCGAAGTTTTGGATCCTCTCTGGTAGAGAGGAAATTCGAGAATGGGAGCGGGTATGTTCACAATGTCGTAAACAGAAAGCAAAAGTGGCGCACCAGATCATGGCTCCTCTCCCAGAAATGAGACTAACACCTTCTCTACGTGCTTTCACACAGGCTGGACTTGACTTTGCTGGACCCTTCTTTACAGTACAGGGGAGAGGAAAAGCAAGGCAGAAGCGCTATCTTTGCCTCTTCACGTGTCTAGCTTCAAGAGCTGTGCATCTTGAAATCGCACATGGAATGGACACAAATTCATTTCTTAATGCCTTTTATCGCATGGCCAGTCGCAGAGGACTTCCAGAGGACATTGTGTGTGATAATGGGACAAACTTTGTTGGAGCAGAAAAGGAGCTCAAAGAACTGGTCTCATGTCTGGACAATGATGCTGTTAAACGAACATTAGCGAATCGTGGGACCAAGTGGAAGTTTAATCCTCCCTGTGCGCCCCATTTCGGAGGTGTGTTCGAGACCATGATCAAGGCAGCCAAGAAAGCTTTCTCTGCTATATTAGGTCGAAGTGACGTAAATGATGAAGAGCTCATGACAGCGTTTATTGGAGCAGAAGCCTTGATCGATTCACGTCCACTCACCTATCAGACGTCAAATCCTCAGGATGATGTACCCCTGACACCGAACCACTTCCTCCATGGACAGGTTGGAGGTTCTTTTGCTCCAGAATCAGTGGATACAACACCCTTTAACCCAAGGAAACGCTGGAGATGGATACAGGATGTAATACAACACTTCTGGAGCCGATGGATGAAGGAGTGGATACCCAGCCTCAACCGAAGAAGGAAGTGGCTCACTCACCAACCGGATATCAACGTGAATGACATAGTTTTGGTAATATCGCCAAACACTCCACGTGGACATTGGCCCATGGGAAAAGTTATCAAGACTCCTCCAGGGAAAGATGGTTACACCAGAGTGGTTGACATACAGATTGGTCAATCTGTACTTACTAGACCAGTGACGAAAGTGTGCCCTCTTGAAACGGACAGCATTAGCTGATAAAGTACCAGATGTCACTGAACAAGACAATACAGGATTCTATGGATTCTATTGTGACATTCGAAAGACGAAAATGTGTAAAATTGATGGATTTAACATGAGAAACTATCCAATGTGAGATATTCAAATTTGTGACAGAACCTTGACCAAAAGAGTGTGTAATCTGCACATATTGTGGTGGTGTACTGTGAACTCAAAATGTGAATACTGTTTCATAAAAATGGATATATTGTGACATTGGATGTATTCAGTGCATTATTTGTTGAACTTTTCGATACGTTTGTGGATGTGATCGAGGATATTATTTCGATTCTGGAAAGTTGGTTACTATTTTGTGTTGATAGACTCCGTTCTATCAAGGAGGGGGAATATGGACATAAGGGAATTGTCATCACAGATGTGAGTATGCCATGTTTCCGAACAGGTCGTTCCTGTGTGTAAGCAGTTCACGCACACACTGCTTTACTTTGCGGAAATAGATCTAAAAAGCATGAAAAAAGCATGCATTTGTGCCACGTGTCGACAACCATGTCATTGTAATTCAGTTTGGCATTAGGATTAGGATAGGCAACATCGTTCGACAGAGTAGTCATTTAGTGATCGGGATAATAATAGAAATTTGGAAGAAAAAAAGAAACTTTGTAAATGTAAATTGAAGTACAACAGTAATTCTTGTCTGTAATAAAACCATTGTAAATAAATTAGTGTCCCTGCCTGTCTATTGCACTTCTTCTATTTCTGCTGACCACATCCCCAAAACGACAAAAAATCATTAATTAACAGCACTTTATTATTTCATTCTGTAGATGAACTATTTGTATTATACCTTTATTCTGCCTTATATGCACATCTCCAGTACAAGGATTGAATGATAAAATTCTGTGTCTCACATTCAGGGATTGAGTATTAGTGAAATCTTTTGTTGTGGATGCAACATGATGTTATCGAGGTATAGCCACAAAAACTTGACAACTATTTTTTGTGTGACAAGTGAGTAACATAAACTCTGACCTTTGACAATGGACACATGTAAGGAATATGTGCCAACTCTTGTATAGGTGTCCATACGTCAGGGCAATTTCACTCTCTCTGAGGCAGTCGGGGAGCCTAGTGGTTAAAGCGTTCGCTTGTCATGCTGAAGACCCAGGTCCAATTCCACATGGATACAATATGTGAAGCCCATTTCTGGTGTCCCCCACTGTGATATTGCTGGAATATTGCTAAAAGGGGTGTAAAACCATGCTCACTCACACACTCACTCTCACCAACTCACTTCATGTTCCGCCTGTCTTTTGATACTAAGGACCAATAAATACTATGTTTGCTGTTGTCCAATGGCAACCTATGAAAAATTAGTCCCTGCATGTCTACAGGTTTTCGTAGACAGGACTCGACTCGAGGCATTGTAAATTGATATTGGCCTAGCCTGAATTTAAAGTGTGGGTTGGGCCTGATTTATGTGTCATGTGTGGGATTCACATGCTCCCACTGTTGTTTCAATGACTGAAATGACCATCATTGGAGTTGTGAAGATTCACGATACATGTTGGTATAGCGATGCTGACATGATGAAAGGTGCCAGAAAGGAGGTCATCAGGAAGTCATAAGTACTGTGGCAATTAATTATGTTGATTCGCTGGAGCAGTTTCTGTGATGTGCTCATGGTGTTTAGCGTTGAGGCTTTGAACTTTGAGTGTCAGTCAATGGTTAGGGACATATAACAGAATATAACCTTGAAGTAGATACCCCCAGTGTCTATCAGTAGTGAGGGAAACATTGTAAGACAGAGCCTTGAAGTAGACAAGTAGAGTGTCAGTCAGTGGTTAGGAAAACATTGTTAGAAAGAGCCTTGAAGTAGACAAGAGGAGTTTCAGTCAGTGGTTAGGGAAATATTGTAAGACGTAGCCTTGAAGTTGACAAGTGGAGTATCAGTCAGTGGTTAGGGAAATATTGTAAGACGTAGCCTTGAACCTGACAAGTGGAGTATCAGTCAGTGGTCAGGGAAATATTGTAAGACGTAGCCTTGAAGTTGACAAGTAGAGTATCAGTGAGTGGTTAGGGAAATATTGTAAGACGTAGCCTTGAAGTTGACAAGTGGAGTTTCAGTCAGCGGTTAGGGAAATATTGTAAGACATAGCCTTGAAGTTGACAAGTGGAGTATCAGTCAGTGGTTAGGGAAATATTGTAAGACTTAGCCTTGAAGTAGACAAGTGGAGTATCAGTCAGTGGTTAGGGAAATATTGTAAGAAGTAGCCTTGAAGAAGACAAGAGGAGTTTCAGTCAGTGGTAAGGGAAACATTGTAAAACAGAGCCATCAAGTAGATATCCCAAATGTCAGTCAGTGGTTAGGGAAACATTGTAAAACAAAGGCATTATGTAGATTTCTCCAGTGTCAGTCAGTTTTAAGGGAAATATTGTAAGACAGAGCCTTGAAGTAGACAAGATGAGTTTCAGTTAGTGGTTAGGGAAACGTTGTAAAACAGAGCCATCAAGTAGATATCCCCAGTGTCAGTCAGTAGTCAGGGAAACATTGTAAAACAGAGACATCAAGAAAACACCCCAATGTTAGTCAGTGGTTAGAAACATTGTAAAACAGAGCCATCTAGGAGATATCCCCAGTGTCAGTCAGTAGTAAGGGAAACATTGTAAAACAGAGACATCAAGAAGACACCCAGTGTCAGTCAGTAGTAAGGGAAACATTGTAAAACAGAGACATCAAGAAGACACCCAGTGTCAGTGGTTAGGGTAACATTGTAAAACAGAGACATCAAGAAGACTCCCTGTGTCAGTCAGTAGTAAGAGAAACATTGTAAAACAGAGACATCAAGAAGACACCCAGTGTCAGTCAGTAGTAAGGGAAACATTGTAAAACAGAGCCATCAAGTAGATATCCCCAGTGTCAGTCAGTGGTAAGGGAAACATTGTAAAACAGAGCCATCAAGTAGATATCCCCAGTGTTAGTCAGTAGTAAGAGAAACATTGTAAAACAGAGACATCAAGAAGACACCCAGTGTCAGTCAGTGGTTAGGGTAACATTGTAAAACAGAGACATCAAGAAGACACCCAGTGTCAGTCAGTGGTTAGGGAAACATTATTAAACAGAGCCATCAAGCAGATATCCCCAGTGCTAGTCAGCAGTAAGAGAAACATTGTAAAACAGAGACATCAAGAAGACACCCAGTGTCAGTCAGTGGTTAGGGAAACATTGTAAAACAGATCCATCAAGTAGATATCCCCAGTGTTAGTCAGTAGTAAGAGAAACATTGTAAAACAGAGACATCAAGAAGACACCCAGTGTCAGTCAGTGGTTAGGGTAACATTGTAAAACAGAGACATCAAGAAGACACCCAGTGTCAGTCAGTGGTAAGGGTAACATTGTAAAACAGAGACATCAAGAAGACACCCAGTGTCAGTCAGTGGTTAGGGTAACATTGTAAAACAGAGACATCAAGAAGACACCCTGTGTCAGTCAGTAGTAAGGGAAACATTGTAAAACAGAGCCATCAAGATGACACCCAGTGTCAGTCAGTAGTAAGGGAAACATTGTAAAACAGAGACATCAAGAAGACACCCAGTGTCAGTCAGTGGTTAGAAACATTGTAAAACAGAGCCATCTAGGAGATATCCCCAGTGTCAGTCAGTTGTAAGGGAAACTTTGTAAAACAGAGCCATCCAGAAGACACCCAGTGTCAGTCATTGGTTAGAAACATTGTAAAACAGAGGCATCAAGAAGACACCCAGTGTCAGTCAGTAGTAAGGGAAACATTGTAAAACAGAGACATCAAGAAGACACCCAGTGTCAGTCAGTGGTTAGAAACATTGTAAAACAGAGGCATCAAGAAGACACCCAGTGTCAGTCAGTTGTAAGGGAAACATTGTAAAACAGAGACATCAAGGAGACACCCAGTGTCAGTCAGTAGTAAGGGTAACATTGTAAAACAGAGACATCAAGAAGACACCCAGTGTCAGTCAGTGGTTAGGGTAACATTGTAAAACAGAGACATCAAGAAGACACCCAGTGGCAGTCAGTGGTTAGGGTAACATTGTAAAACAGAGACATCAAGAAGACACCCAGTGTCAGTCAGTGGTTAGGGTAACATTGTAAAACAGAGACATCAAGAAGACACCCAGTGTCAGTCAGTGGTTAGGGTAACATTGTAAAACATCAAGAAGACACCCAGTGTCAGTTAGTGGTTAGGGTAACATTGTAAAACAGAGACATCAAGAAGACACCCAGTGTCAGTCATTGGTTAGGGTAACATTGTAAAACAGAGACATCAAGAAGACACCCAGTGTCAGTCAGTAGTAAGGGTAACATTGTAAAACAGAGACATCAAGAAGACACCCAGTGTCAGTCAGTAGTAAGAGAAACATTGTAAAACAGAGCCATCATATTGACTGCCACACAATGGGTCTGTGGACAGTGGACAATGTTTGAAGTGGTTTGAATCTCAGGCTTGGAAGTCTCTACCATGCCATGTAGTAGAGTTGCCTTGAATAGAACTACTTCATTTCGTTTGTCCGTGCGCTGTTTCTTGTTTGACACTGAACTCAGCAGTATTCCATCTATATGACTGCAGTCTGTAAATAATCAAGTTTGGGCCAGATGGTCCAGTGATGGACATCATTAGCATCGATACACGCACTTGGGATACAATGACATGCATCAACCAAGTCAGCGAGCCTGACCACCCGATCCCGTTTGTCTCCTCTTACGACACACATTGTCGCCTTTTATGGCAAGCATGGGTTGCTGAAGATCTATTCTACCCTGGATCTTCAGGGGTCCACTTCATTTCAAACTGGTAAACTTTCAAGGTTTTTCTTACAGATAAATCATATAATCAGATTCCTTAGTAAATTAATTTTGGTAACATTATTCTAACTGTTATTGACTACAAAGTTTGTTTAAATCACTCTTTGATGCCTGACCTTTTCTTCTAAGTGTCAGTAAATTTATATATTGAATTTATCACATTTGTTCTTAAATAAAAGGACAA